GGTAGACTGTTGGGGACTTATTGTCTCCATGGAAATAATGGCTTATAATAATGGTATGATAAGTAACATTTCAAAAGAGGAAATGCATTATCTCCGATTCTCAAAAACAGGGAGTTAATACTTGCTTTTTTAATGCAACTAGCAAATGTTTGGTTATCTACTATAATGTATGTATTGTACAACACTGCATATAAAAGCTACCAACATATTTTTGACAAAGAGTGATGTATCTATTTGTTGTAAAACCGCTTTCTTTTCCTTTCTGCTTCAATAGCACAGGGTGATTTCCCCCCCTGTTGTTAGGGCTGATCTATAGTGCAAGCTGCACATAAACAGAAATAGATTGCAAACCAGCTTCAGCCAGCACACTAGCATGGATCCTTGCATGAATAGTAGTGGTGAACAGAGAACTCAGCTGCACTGGTTTATTTAAGTGTCATTTTCTTCAGTTAAGGAAAGTCCTACATTAATTAGTCACTCTAATGTCACATAAATACCGTATTTTTCGCCCTATAGGACGCACCGGCCCATAGGACGCACCTAGATTTTCGGGGGGGGAGGAAATAAAGGGGGAAAAAAATTATTTCCCCCCCCCCCAGGCGCGGGGCTGGGGAAGCCCGAGCTTCCCCCTCCCCCAGCCCCCAGAACGGGACCCAGAGCGATGCCGAAGCTGCGTGCAGCTTTGGCATCGCTCTGGGAGCTTGCGGGGCTGGAGGAGGGGGAAGCCCTCCGCCAGCCTTCTAACCAAGTCGGGGGACAGCGGGAAAGGCGCGCTGCGCCTCCCCGCTGTCCCCCGAGCTTGTGGGGCTGGCGGTGGGGCTCTCCTGAAGCCTGGAGAGCGAGAGTGGTCGGTGCGCACTGACCCCTCTCGCTCTCCAGGCTTCAATGAAAGCCTGCATTCACCCCATAGGACGCACACACATTTCCCCTTCATTTTTGGAGGGGGAAAAGTGCGTCCTATAGGGCGAAAAATACGGTACTTGCAGAATGGATCAGTACGTCCTATTTCTCATATATTTTTCCACTACTTCTTAACACATCGCCAGAGCAGTATTCAGGTGCTGTTGGCTCCAGAATTTAGCATCTTCAGTGTCTATTTAAAATACAGCAATTTTCTAGCCCTTAAAGATGTAAAATAGGTTCAAAAGTATGTGGGCAAAGCTTCAGAAGCTCGAAGGAGGACTGAGCAGTGTTTCTGATAGTTGTGACTTCTGGGTTTCCTATAGCTGTGATTTGATTTCAGCTGTTGTATTTTATTTGAAAAAAATGCAGCATCTACGCAGATTTGAACTTAACTGCTGGTGTCACGATGCAACAAAATACACCTATGTGTGCTGTTTTCCTTTGTGCACCTCTTCCTTGCCCCACAAAATGTGACACTGAATTGCTTTTAACAAGAACACATGCTTCCAAAAGCAACCTGCTGAGAAGAGCTTTGATTTGGGAAAGCTTCTCTATGTAATACTGTGGGTTATGAAATCTGATGGCTGGCAACAATCTACTTGGATTAGGATAGGATTTCATCCCTATCCTACCTCAGAAGGTTTTTGGATACCCCCCCCCCCTGCTACTTTTCAGTACTTCAGTGTCAGCAGATCCATTGGTAATATCCTATAGTCTTGTGTTCCCCATGCTCCCAAATGCAAACTATCCCCAGCATGTTCAGAAGGCTGCATCTTCCAGGTCAGCATCATTGCTTTCAAGCCAAAACCCAGACCCCCAGCACATGCTTCCTAGCAATCAGCCACATAGTAGGATGACGTGGACATCATGCTTCGGTAGTCTATGAGTGGCTGGGTAGTAGTAGTAGTAGTAGTAGTAGTAGTAGTAGTAATTGTCCTGTCTGCGTTGCTTGATTAAGGGCGAAATCATCACCATACTAGCATGCAAACTTGCCATTGATATTGTATCTGTATGTTTAAAAACAGCATTAAAGTTAGGCAATTGAAAGCCGTTTCAAAAATCTCTGATGCAAGCACAAGTTTGGATTTGGTTAGGTGTCATTTCAGAAAAAAATATATTAAGTATTAACTGTGAAAGGGCTTTTGGAAATCACAGAATGATCCTCCTTTTGTAACGCACCTGAATCAGTGTGTGTCTCTCTCCAGTGCTCACAACACCCACATGGCTTCCCATGCCAGAGAAAAGGGGGCCAGTCAGGTCTCCTGGAGGATCAGAGCTTTCCCCAGTTTCCCAACTCCCCCCCTCCAGCTGCCTCTTAACTGCATGGTATTAATCTGAGGGCTGCAGTTTTTCCACTCTGTGCTAGAGCATTGAACAAGAAAAAAGGAAACCAAGCCAATTATGTTCTTTTGCTTAAATACGAAGCATAGGGACTGATATAACTTACTCAGTGAACTCTTGTGGAACAGGGCTAGCATCTATTTTCATTTTGCTTATAGTTTTCCCCCTATGACCTATAACAGGCATAGGCAAACTCAGCCCTCCAGATGTTTTGGGACTACAACTCCCATCATCCCTGACCACTGGTCCTGTTAGCTAGGGATGATGGGAGTTGTAGTCCCAAAACATTTGGAGGGCCGAGTTTGCCTATGCCTGACCCATAACAAGTAGCCCACACCAATTTTTAAGATACTTGAATATTGTGCTCATTTATCCAAAATCTGGAAATGGAAAGTACTCCAGATGCTTTGGGCTCCTTTGGGAAGGATTGGGTGTAAATTTAATAAATAAATGAAGTTCAGATGGATCCCTGTCAGAATAGACTGTTCTCCTTTCGTCCCCCTCCAGTCAGAGGCAAGGGGAATGGTGCCAAAGCTACATCAGTCAAGAAATATTTTGTAGCAGAACTTGATTGCTCACACATTATTGCTTCCTCAGATAAATGTAAGGACAGCTTGCATGTGGACCCCCAACAAGCATTTGGCCCGTTCAGCTACGAAAGGAGATTAGCATAGAGACAAAAGGGACTGTAGCTTTTGCCTTCCATCATCATAGATCTTCACTTTCTTGACTTTCAGAAAATGCAGCTGTCCTTGAATGCATTAGCAGAATGCATTATCTACATAACCCAAGTCTGAAACATGGTGTTAACATTCATCCTGAGAAAAGTGTATTCAGTTTCAGACCTCATAGGCAGCAAACACTGTATGTAAATACAACCACAGATATCATTTCAGCAATACTGTGGTTATTCTATCTATAGACTTCATGGAGCTTGGGAATTAAGAGGTGTTCAATTGCTACCCAACCTTCTTAAACAAACAAACAAACAAACTGCACAATCTCACTAGGCCTGTGCTGAAGGGCAAATTAGTCCTCTCTCCTGTAACACAATTGTTTGTGTGATTAATTTGATATTAAGGGATGGTGGCGTGGCTCGGTGGGATAGAACCTGGTTTCCATGCAGAAAATCCCAGGCTCAGTTCCTGGTATCTCCAGGTACAGCTGGGAGAGACATTTTCCTGAAACCCTGGAGAACTGCTGCCCATCACTGTAGACAATATTGTGCTAAATGGACCAAAGTATGACTCCATATAAGACAGCTTCCTGTGCAATCACCTTATTTTTTAGGAAGAGCTATGTATGGTTTGAGTAATATTAATTCCGTTTCACAGGCTTGGCTTTATCACTTCAGTTCAGACACCTATGGCACACTCAGAAGCAACACAGCATTATATTCCATGGGTTTTACTCCCAGGTAAACGTGTATTGGATCAGAGCCCTGGCATCAAACCTTTGTTTTTTAAAAAGCAGCTCTTTATCTCCTCTGGAGTGTGGCCTGCATTATGTGTGAGCAGATTCCAGCTGCTACCGCTTTCTTTCTCACAATGCCAATTATAGAAGCAGTTCACAGGGAAGGTGTCCAGCTATCGCCAACACAATTTGCAGCTCGCTGCAGCTTCTGGAGTCTCTTTTCCGCTCTACCAAGGGGAGAAAAAACAGGACTGCTTTCTTTCTCACATTGTTTAGCTCTGCAAATTTCAGATCTCACCTCAAAGCCAACAGTCTCTTTGGAGACGCTAATTTTAGAACTGGATCTATAAGGTGCTGAACGTTTTCCGTTTCCAAAGAGAGGCAAAAAACTATTTCGGCAGTGAAAAACAGCCTGCTCCGTATAGTGACGGTTGTAGACGTTTTGCTATGAGTCAGAAAATCCAAGAAGCAATACCCCCCATCTCCCAATAGAAAATAAATAATTCCAGCCTTGTGAATTTTGTCAGCCAATATCTGCTGCCTGGAGGCAGCCATCTTAGGGCTTCTTCTAAACTAAACCTTTGTGACGCTTCAAGTTGCTGTAGCCTTTGCTTCTTGCCCATGTCACAAAAGTCATGTGGGAGAAGCCCACAGTGCAACCAAACTGTGTGAAGGAGCTGTGTTGGGACTCTCCCACATAACTTGAGGGCTTTAACATTACCCGTGCAAGCCCACCTTCTTGAGAAACTCCCTCAGCCCAAACTCCAGGGATAGGGAACTTGGTAGCGCTTCCAGATGTTACTGGACCACAACTTCCATCATACCTGACCATTAGCTGGGCCAGCTTCTTCCAAAGAACAATGGGTTCCCCACTCTTCTTATAGGCTAACGGTCACATTTCAAAATACCCTGCCATTGGCCAGTAGGATTCTGGGCTTCTTTCTCCCCTTGCCTATTTCACTGTCTTTTAACCTTCCTCTTCAGTTCTTACCATATTGCAACAGCTGCTGTTCCACTCTAACACCCATTCCTTTCCCCTGTCCCATTTTATAGTTGCCTTTACTCCTGTCTCCTCTGAAGCATAAATCTCCTTTCCTCTTCAACAGCCTGGAAATTCTCAATATGAGTGGTACAGTGGTACCTCGGGTTACATACGCTTCAGGTTACATACGCTTCAGGTTACAGACTCCACTAACCCAGAAATAGTACCTCAGGTTAAGAACTTTGCTTCAGGATGAGAACAGAAATCGCACGGCGGCAGCGGGAGGCCCCATTAGCTAAAGTGGTGCTTCAGGTTAAGAACAGTTTCAGGTTAAGAACAGACCTCCGGAACGAATTAAGTACTTAACCTGAGGTACCACTGCATCGTTGAGACACATTCATAAAGGAGAGGTAAAACCAATGAAAATGCCCAGGCTGGGAACCATGATGTTTACTTACAAGTAAACACCATATAGAACATAGGCTTCCTCTACCTTTAATACTTTTGCAGAAGAGGGGCCTTCCCAAGATGAAGCTGTTGGTATTCCTTTTACTTTTTTTATAAGGCAATTGTGAAAAGGTCCAGGGGGCATGTCATTTTTTAGCATCTAAAGGAAAATTATGCATAGGGAAGGCTGCTGGTCATTTTAGGGTCAATTTTCTGGTGCATATTAAATATACCTAGTAACCCACAGCCAAACAAAGGAAACGGAGCCAGGCAACAAAACAGGAACTAATGCAATTCCATCTGAATCAATATAGATTTCCAGTACAGCTTAGAACAAAATACAGAAGTTCAGACAATACAGCTCTTCATGGGTATGTGGCCAATAATAAAAAGGCATGAATTCAAAGACAAAAAGGCAGCAACAGCTATCAAGGGCTTCCATACGAAGAATTACAGCCAGTAACACATAGCAAAATTGTTTTTGGTTCCAAAACCATTTGTTTCTAACTTCCGTAATTAAGCCAAAATTAAAAGAATGCCTACCCTAACTCAATTTCCCCCATTTGCTCTTTTGCCCCTCCCCTTTTGACCAGACACAGGAACTAGACACACACTCATTTCTCAGAAGATAAACACATTGTAACTCTGCTTTGCTTTAATTATAACTATTTACAGAATGCGATGAGGGCAAGACATTCTGCAGAGCTCAGACCAAAGAAGATCAGATCCAGATAAAATGCATTTTTGTTGTCTGGGGTCTGCATAACAGACAACTGCTTCAGAAAAGATGACCTCCCACGCAGCCAACATTTTCCGATTTTTGAATTCTTAGGGTGTATTTGCAGATTTTGTTGATATTTTGCCTCCTACTTCACAACGGCATGCCCTGGATGGTTCATGAATGCAACAGTGAGAGAAAAGGCAGTTACCGTTTAAATAAGACACAGTTTATAGGTGTTGTGTGCGTGTATGTGTGGAGAGGGAATCAGATGTGATGTATTAAGAAGACACCAGCTTGGTCAGTCAAGATTTGGCAGACATTCTTATCTAGGCTTTAGCTGCTTTTTGTCTTGAGGAGGAAAGATCTCCAACGCAAATGGGATGAAGAATGCTAAGAGATCAGTCACATCCTTCAATTCTAATGAGTATTCCTTTGCTATTTTCTCTGCAGTCCACGTTTCCGGAGAGTGGAGATGATTATGGAGAATGGTCAAGACTTCAACTATGGCGACTTTGCCTCTAGGAACAGACTGAATATCCAGGGGAGCAAGATTGCCTACTTTTGTAAGTCTGCGTTCCTCTCGCTTAGAAGGAAGGCTTTCTCCTTTGTTTTTCACCTAGAGCGGGGGAAATTATATAAAAAATAGTTAGGTTTCAGTGTACAAGCTACACGTGCTCCATCCGTTAAGGTAGGGGTAGGCAACATGGGAACTTTGGACTACAACTCCCATCATCCCTGGCCACTGGCAATGCTGGCTGGGGCTAATGAGAGCTGCAGTCCATGTCTGGAAGGCCCCACGTGGCCTACCCCTGCCTTTTAACACTCCCCCTTTCAACAGAATGTAACTAAAACATTCTAAACCCATTTCTTTTCTGAAAGCGGGACTTAACTGAGGAATTAACCTTCTCTATTTAGCTTGCCTGGTGCCTGATTTGATGACCTTCATGGGCCAGGCAGAAAGGAGTTTTCTTCAGATTTTAATAGCTTTCAATGGCTGCTCAGGATTCTGTTAGCTCATAGGAGACGTTTTGCTCTGGGAGGCTTAGTTTGGACAGAATCGAGGATACACTTCCAGAGTTAATGCTAAATAACATTACTCCTGGTAAATGAGGGCCATGAAAATTTGTGTCCTGGGCTTTTTAGACTCGTCTACCCATGTACTATCTGAAACCCAAGGGGTGCATTGGTTGCCAGATGTGAAATATATTTGCATTATTTTCAGCTCTCCTACCCCACTACACTGTTATGAAAAAATGCTGTGACAGAGGATATGGTTTTTACTGATTATCCCAGGTAGAATGGCAGAGACTGCGAATGAGTTCTGCCTGAAACCCTGCAGAGTGGTTGCCTGTCAGTCTCAACCAGGGGTGGCTAACCAACCTGTGGCCCAATAACATCTGGAGGGACCACAGTTATCATAATCCCTGACCATTGTCCATGCTGGCTTGGATTTATGGAGCTGGAGCCCACCAACTTTGGAGTTCACTCTTTCCCTATCTTCACTACAGATCCTGAAAAAATATTATTCCCACTAAGCACACTACAGTATTAAAATAAGCCTAAAAGCATGGGATTCCTTTCTCCACGCAATTTCTCATTTCACATGCAAGCCCCAGCCTTCCAACCAATACACACTTGGGTCAGTAAACCCTACTGAACACAGAATGCCACTGAATAAACGTGTACAGGATTGTGATACTCACCCATTACCTAAACATGCTCACTTGCAATTAAGTCCTTCCTATTAAGTATGTTTGGGATTGCAGCCTGAGAAATCTCAGATAGATTCATCTAGGAACTATGGCATATTGACAGTGCCACCTTATGCATATTAAATCAAAAATAAGGCCCATTAAACTCAATTGGTATTGTATCATTAAGTGTATCATTGCAAACCAGAAAATCCAGAACCAGAGTACCTTCTTCCCATGGAAATAGCACAGGATTCTGCTCTATCTTTCTATCCTAAAATACACTGGAGAATATTAAATAATATCTGGTTTATACCTGGGCTTAGCATATAAGAATTTTTTTTTAAGGAACACCAAAATGAATGGCGAAGGGAACTATAAAACACAAGTAATAGCAAATTAAGTAAAATAGGGAGCTATTCGGGAGGCCCGTGGAATATATCTAGATCAGAGGTCAGCAACCTAAGGCCCATGGGCCGGAAGCTACCTGCGGAGGTCATTCAACCGGCGCACGAGCTACCCCCAAACTGAGCTGCCCATTTGTGTGCTGCGCTAAACTGGCGCAGCGCGGTGCGGGGACTCGCTTCCACAGCGCTGAAAATCATGTCTGCGCATGCGCAGACACTGAAAATCACGGGCGGGCGGGCAATCCTGCCCATGGAGAAATCTCCATGGGACTGATCCGGCCCAGGCAAGATAAACCTTGCTGACCCCTGATCTAGACAGATGCAAATGTGATTCCTGCATTTATATAATAATTATAATTTGTCTGCATTGATAATGAGATTAAAATATGTACACACACAATCCAAGAGAGCTAAATGAGACCTAACTTTACATGGACAAAAACTATGACTATGCTTGTCACTGGTGTGTTAAAGTGCTTAACTGGCACCTGCATATTCCAAGATAACCTGACTCACATGCATAACTGGATCTTTGGACTCAACATAGACTTCCTTTAATAATGTGTGAAGGTGGTCATCTTTTCTCTTAATCTCTTCTTGGAATCTGTCGGTGTCTAAGGAGAGATTACAGAACACATTCTGAAGTTATATATTTCAATTCCCCTCCACCCCAGCTTAAGCAAAATATTACAACCCTCAGGAGAGTAGTTCATAATGCATGTAAGGATACGCCTGAATTAATACACACCTACTTTCACAACACACACATGTATATATTCCTGTACACTTCAGGAAAAATGCTTTGGCACTAGCTTTGAAGCTACCATTTCTCTCTCCCCCGTTTTCTCACTAATGCGCAAGATTACTAACAGTTCATCCAGGCCAGTGTTCTATTGTTTACAGTAAGGGTGAGGAACATGCGATTGTCAAGACTACAACTCCAATAATCCCTGGACATTGGCCACACTGAATAGGCCAACAGCATCTGAAGAACCATATATTCATGCTAGGTGGGGATATGAACCTGGATTTCATCAGTCTGACACTCTATCCACTATCCCACACTGGCAAATAGGGAGGCATCCTCTGCAATCACAATTTACTGTTTTAAGGGGCTCTCAGGAAGAGGGCATGCATCCTGGCTAAGTAAGCTAGTACCCACAGATACTCTCATAGACACTAAGAGTTCGCCATGTTAAAAATGGAATAAAATAAATTACTGATAGCGGACCAGAAATTCCTACCTTCCCTATCTTAACAGGATTCATCGCAAAACCGGCAAATATTTGATCTGCACTCCCGTTGTTTTAATTTAAGTTCATGATGAACAGAAATCAGGAGGGAGTGGGCAAAGCTTCGAATAACAGATGGTTAAGAAACCCAGCAAAACACTTGACAGATGTCTACATTGGCGTTCCCAGTTGCCTTCCTTACTGCCTGGGAACACGCGGCTCTGCAGACGTTCATGCACTACAGCTCCCATCACTCCCCGATCGCTGGCCGTGGCGGCTGGGGCTGATGGGAATTGTAGGCTGGCAAACATTTAAAAAAACATCCTGCTGGTTTCCTCCACCAGTCCAGGGAGACTACAGCTCCCAGCTTGCAAATCAGGCCGGTAGGCCGCGGGAATACAGCTGGGAGGGCAAAGGGCCGCGCGCGCAAGCCACTTCCAAACGTCCAGAGCGCGAGAGACGGCGCTCCCAATGTCACCAGGGCCCTTCCTTGGGCGCTGCGTCTGCGCCCCTTGCAAGAAAGGCCCCCAGCACGGAAAAGGATTCCCTTTTGCTGCAAATGGTCCGAGCAGCCGAGCAAAGGCGCCACAGGGCGGCTCAGGCACCCAGCCCCCTTGCTTAAGCGGAGCGGCTGTGCGCGCCGCGCCTTGCCTTGGCCAACTCACGGTCAGCAGGCTGCGGGTGCCGCGGGGCTGGCGCGGGCTTGGCTTTGGCGATTTCCCGGTGGGCTCGGCTCTCCAGGTTGAACTTGCTGAACACGCGGGTCACCCTGGCGCCCATCATCCCGGCGCACTGCCGCCTCCCACTTCCGAAAGCGAGGCGGAGACGCGTCCTATTCGGGCATGCGCGCCGAGAAGCAGGGAGAAACAGGGCGCCCCATGGCGGGCGGGAGGCCGGGCTGGCGCCGCCGGGAGCTCTGGGTAGACCGGCAGCCGGACGCATCGATTGGGCGATGCGGTTGCAGTTTGCTTTGCATTCAGTGGAAGGACGTGTGGACATAGACTTACCCAAGGGAGAGGCAGCTGTCCCCCCTTAATCAATAAAAAAACAATAAAAATACATAGCTAAATGAGGTTCTCCCCCTCCCCAACAAAACTATATAGAAAAACAAGATATAACTATAACAGCAGTGTTAGAAACTCAGATATGAAAGCTAGGAGCTAAATGGCACCTTAAACCTAGGTTATGGGCGCAACATTTTGGAGGCTACATTTTAATATTTTAATGTTTGTTTTTAAGTTGTAATCATTCAACTTGTTTTTGTTATTGCTTGTAAGCCGCTCTGAGCCCGGCCTTGGCTGGGGAGGGCGGGGTATAAATAAACATTATTATTATTATTATTAACAGTGGAACATCTAGGCGTGCTTTTTTAATAACAAGAATACAAAGCTGAAAATGAATGACCTGCAGCTAAAATCTTAAGTCCATTTTTCACATGGTCTAGTCCTCATCTCAAGACTGCAAAAATCAAAGCCATGCATCCCCTGCCCACCCCCCTAATATTCTTAAGAGGATCTCTTCTCCAGTCTTCAGAAAGTGGCTGGAAGTGGGCAGGCAGAAAAAAAGCCCTCCTTTCCTTCAACTCTGCAGTTCTAACCTGAAAGCTTAGGCATAGTACTGCACCCAGAGCTCAGAAACTGCTTGCGCTAATGAAATTCCCTGTCGCAAAATGCATCTAGAATGATGGGAGTTTCAAACACTGCCTGTGAGGTAGGTTTGGCTGAGGGAGAGTAATTGGCCCAAGGTCACCCAGCAGACTTCATGTCCCAGTGGGGATGTGAACCCTGGTTTCCCAGTTCCTAGTCTAGAACTCTAACCACTGCACCACCACAGTTTAGGCTGAGACTGACAGGTTGCCCAATAAGCTTCATGGTTGAGTCAGGTCCTAGTCCACACCTGCTCAATGAGACTTATTTTTGAGGAGGCATATATAGGATGAAAACATACGCAAATGCCCACAAGGCGAGTTGCAAATAAATAAATAAATAAATAAATAAATAAATAAATAAATGTATAGTACCATATTGTGTAAGTGAGCCTTTTCCCCCAACAGCACCATGGTCCTGATCTGAAGGACCATTCCCCCTCAACTGCAATTAATATGAATAGGATTCTTTCTATGCTGTTTTCTATCATTAAAGCAATAGACTCACTAAAGTGGAGAGTCCAGCAGCATGCCCACCCCTAATACAGATTGGGTTCTCCTAACACAGATTGTACACAGGTCTGGCAGTCTAAGACTTTCAGCTGCCAAAGGCAGTTTCCTGTAGAGAAGTTGACTGGATTGACAGCTGATTCTTTCTTCAGCCCTAGTGAAAAGAGTGTCCTCCCCTGTACCTGATGGCAGCAGGCTAGTTTAGGGCTGCAGGTAAGGCCATGGGACACACACTGCTTTGTCCATCGATGGGAAGGAATGGTTTGGGGCGGGGCTCAAGGTGAATAGCACCCCAGCACCTGCTACCTGAGACGACATCATTCTGCCCGTTCAAACGGTTATGGCCGTTTTGTACAGAGCCATGATCCTATGCATGTTTGCTCAGAAGTAAGCCCCACACTCATTCAGTAGTTAAGTGTGCAAAGCACAGCATCCCTGATCAGTGATCTGAATAGGCAGCTAAACCCTTGCTATATACCGGTGGTTTATATATGCAGAGAATTTCATTATGAGTAGTTGGGCTGTGGCCAGAGACATTATTTCCAAGGTTGCTGTGCTTAACTGAATTCCCAGAAAACACAATGACTTCCGATATCACTTCATATGCAATAGGCTGCTGTTGTACTAACATATAGCCTTGAGCATCTAACTGCCATTGAGGCAGCTGAGTGCTACACACTCATTTCTTATTCTCCAGCCAACTTCCCTCCTGCCGCTGGAGGTTTCCCACGTGGACCATTCCTCAAAGAGAACAGTTACTTTCTTTATAGATGCATGGTTATATAACTTGGCCTTGGAATCTGCCGGAGGCCATCTGTCCCATGTGAATAGACTGACACAACAACTTATCAAAAATGACCAGCTTTCTGCTTATGTTTTACAGGCAACAAGCCAGCTATATTCTGGCATTTACCACCATAGCTTCATAAGAATACATTCAAATGCTGTAGTTTATTCCTCTTTTACTTTAAAGGCTAGTTATATTATGCCCCATTGTGGAGATTTCAAGTACCAAGTGTCACATATCTTAGAAAGGATCCTAATCAACTGCTTATTATTATTTAAGGAGAGACTGGGCTGCCATCTGTCAGGGATGTTTGTTGCTGGTTCCTGCATTGTAGATCCCATGTCAGGAGTGTGGTCTTTAGGAAGATGTGCTGTATATACTCTTAGCTCTCAGACTCCTCAACACATATTTTTATTTCATTCCCCTCCCCCCCCCCCGCATCATTTCATTCTTGTGTTAGGAAATCATTGATCTGCAACTGCATTCAGGATCCATGGTAATCAGTGGAATGTTCTCTGATGAGACCAGAATGATTAATCCATCATTCCAAGTATGCTTACATGCCACAGGGACTTTCAGATCATTCCTTGTGCAGATGAACCAGCTGGGTCGCAATGAAAGAAGCTATAGCTTAATTGTAGAGTTCATGCTTTGCATACAAAAAACCCTAGGTACAAGTCCAAGTTTAAGCCAGTTAAAAGGGCTCTTGTTAGCAGGGGTGCAGAAGATTATTATTATTATTATTATTATTATTATTATTGATTGATTTAATTTGTATACTGCCCTTTATCCAAAGATTACAGGGCGGTTCACAAAAATCAAAATGAGAACATGAAGTACATAATAAAACAAGAATGAAAATAAACCAATAACCCTCTTCCCACAAATATTAAAAAGCCATAGAATGTTAATCAGCTAAAGGCCTAGTTATACAGAGAAACATTTTTGCCTGGGAACCTCAAAAACGTCTGCCAATCAGGACAGAGAGATGAATGGCTTGGCATTATATAGGCAGCAGTATCATATGAATATATATGTGTGTGTTCACAATTAGAGCTATACTTCAAGAGACTACATAAGACTAACTAGCAGTTTGAAAGCACATCAAAGTACAAGGAGATAAATAGGTACCACTCCGGCAGGAAGGTAAATGGTGTTTCCGTGCGCTGCTCTGGTTCACCAGAAGCGGCTTAGTCATGCTGGCCACAGACCCGGAAGCTGTACGCTGGCTCCCTCGGCCAATAAAGCGAGATGAGCGCTGCAACCCCAGAGTCATCCATGCCTGGACCTAACAGTCAAGGGTCCCTTTACCTTTAACAGAGAAAGAGGGGGGGATCCCAAAAGGATAGGGTCTATAACTCAATGGCAGAACACATGTTCTGTATGCAAGTAGCCCCAAATTCAGTATCAAGTATCTCCAGTTAAAAGAATGTGATCTTCCAGAGGTAAGTCCCATGAGTTCACTGCCACATAAGTGTGCACAGAACTGCTGCCTAAGTGAGTAAAACAGAACAGTATATTGTTGCAGGAAAAAAGTCTGCTCAGGCAAATGGTTTCATTGCTGAACAGACACTGATTTCTCAAAAGATACAGGAAATTCACAGAATGATTCCCTGAGGACTTCATTTCACAGGTAGATCAGAACTGCTGAAACTGATGTGCAATCCAAGCTCACAACTACTCTCTGTTGACTTCACAGCTGATAGGACTTTAATGGTGTGCTGTTCATCTCAGCATGGAACTCAGCCTGTCACTGCAGATATGTCGACGGAGTAGAAATTTCAGGAATGAATATTTTTGTATCAGAAGACTTCAAATGCATTTATGTAGTAGCACATCAATGATTCAGGGTGCAAATAAAACAGCACACTTTGTAGATGTGCAGGAGAATCAGCTTTGAGTCTAAACACATGCGCAGAGCAGCAGAGGACAGTGCTCCCTTGACCTCCATATGGTTGCACCACTCTTGTTTACCAGAAGGCAGAGGGGGAGGGGCAAGGCGGTTGAAAGATTGGCGCACTGCAAATGTACTGGTTTGGCTCTGCCAGTGCATTTGCACGGTGCTGCCCTCACCACTGCCTTGCCCCTCCTCTTCTACATCTTGGTAAGCAGCAGCACTGTGATTGACTGGAGACCAGCTGAGTGCTGCCACCATGCCACCCGCTACTGGCACAGAGTCCACCAATGGTCAAAGGTTTCCCCATTAAGGCAAAAAGCAGCCACAGTCTGGCTGTGGTTTCATTTATTGAAATGAACATGTACACGTATAGAATATTATCAGCTTTCACAATAGCAACTCATGCTGTCCCATTACTACAGCTGCTAAGGTAAAGGTAAAGGACCCCTGACAGTTAAGTCTAGTCGCAGATGACTCTGGGGTTGCAGCGCTCATTTCACTTTACAGGCTGAAGGAGCTGGCATTTGTCTGCAGACAGTTTTTCCGGGTCATGTGGCCAACATGGCTAAGCCGCTTCTGGTGCAACAGAACACCGAAACCAGAGCAGTGCATGGAAACACCGTTTACCTTCTGGCTGGAGCAGTACCTATTTATCTACTTGCACTTTTGGGCATGCTAGCACTGGTATAAAGCAATTGTGGCATAAAATCTGTCAGTCCCAATGTTACTTTTATGCATGGCTCTTAAAGCAATTATTTTAATAGTGCTCACTACCTGGTATCTATCTATTCATTTGCCTCAGATGCATTTTTAATAGTTCTGATCCATCTCTAAATAATGTATTATTAATTCATTTAGGAAATGAAATCTGCATATCATACATCCAGACAGATATTGTTATTATTATCAATCACATTTTCCCACTCAGATCTGTTTTTAATTACTTATTCTAATATAACCAATGGTACAGAAAGG